AGCTTCCTGTCTGTCTGTCTGTCTGTCTTGTGTGTGTATCTGACACTCTCTCTCTCTTACACACACACACATACACACACACTCTTTGTGTCTTCCAGAATGTGAAGGGAATCAGACGCCCAGCTGTGTGAGGAGGAGAAAGATCTGAGTATAAGCCCCGTTGTCCAGGCTGCATCAATGGCTATCACCCTGCTAGGACTTACCCCCCCCCCCAAGCATTATAGCCCTGTTTGAAGCAACCAAAAGTTAACTCTTCATGGACACCAGGTAGTGGAGTAATGGGCCCAGCCATGTGCCATTTTAGACACGATTGCCAGCTTAGAAACACAGCAAGTGCCATGTAGGAGTGAGAGCATGCTGTGCCACTAAGGAAATCCTCGATGCTACCGACAGTTTGTCTAAAGGAACCCTGAACTCCACACCATTTTCCATGTCCGTCCATCCAGCTACTGGCTTTCTACAGTTAAAATGTGCTTTAATCTTCACAAAGTGATGGGTGTATGTACAGATACAAATCTAAGAGCATATGAGAACTGACATGGCCCGGCCACTATCCCCCTCTGTTTCCCAGGAGCAGTTGCTTTCAACCTTGTGAGATTTTCTTCCCTGATGCACAGTCTCCATATGTCAGAGTAATTTGACACACTGTTTATTTTGTGTTTTACCTATCCACAACATTTGTTCTCTTCTAACCTCTTCCTCACAGACTTTGGTTAGACTTTGGGCTATGTGGCTACAAGCTATTCTAGCACAGAGACTGAGTATTTCTTTATCAATCAATGAACTTGGAGTGGATTTTCTTTCTTGGACAAAGCATATTTATTTCATTTGCTCAGTCATACAGATGCTTTTTTTTTTTTTTAGGATGCATGTGAATTCAGGGCCTGTGCACTGTCCTTGAGCTTTTTTCATTTGAGAGGAGCACTCTACCACTTGAACCACAGTGCCACTTCCAGTTTTCTGATGGTTAATTGGAGATAAGAGTCTCACGGACTTTCCTGCCTGGGCTGGATTTGAACTGCAATCCTTAGATCTCAGCCTCCTGAGTAGTTAGTATTACAGGTGTGAGTCTCTGGTGCTTGGACAATTTTTTTCTTTTTTTCAATTTTAAGTGTTAACTTTATATTTCCCTTCCTTTTCCTCCTCCCCCTGGGACTTTTGAGTTTAAACTCAGGACTTCATTTTTGATTGGCTCACTTGCTTGGCTGGTGCTCTGTCCCTTGAGGCAAGCTTCTGGCCAGCTGTTTGCTAGATATCTGGGAGATAGAATCCTACTTTTCTGCCTGAGATGACTTCAAACCATGATTCCCTGATCTCACTCTCATGAGTAGCTAGGATTACAGGCATGAGCCACCAGCCATTTAGCTCTTATTTATTGGTTCCTGATCTCTTTATATTATTTTCACAGTGTTCCTAAGGATTGTCACAGTATTTGTTCTTGTTTGTCGGGTGTAAAAAACCCACTCCTCCCTGGAGGGTTTTGATTGTGGTCTAGGTTGTTCTTTTAGCTTTCTTGATTTCTTCCTATTATGTATGCTGCTTCCAGTTCGCTGCTTTGCATTTGGGGTACTTTGTTCATATCTGTGACTTGTCCCCAGAGCCTAGTGGTCCTTTGTTGTCAGTTGATATTTAGGTATGATTCACTGGCTGATGGAGCTGGAGCTGAAGCAGAGCGGGAGGCCTGTTCCCCAGGACATGGAGGGCCTGTGGGAAGTCACCCCCACAATGCTTCTGCTCCTCCAAACCAGGCCTTCAGTATCCAGTATTAGGGGCTATCTGGGGCAAGAAGGAGGTGCTGGGGCACCACTCAGCCTGCACAGATAAGTCCCTGTCTTCAGTCTGAAGCCACACCCCTTCCTCTCCTTTCACTCCTTCCCTTTGGGGCTGAGGTTCAGAGGTCTTGAGCCTTGATGTGCCCTTTCTGTAGAAATGGGATGACAGGTCTGGGGAAACATGGGAGCCCTGCTGCTTTCTCTCTTTTCTTTTCTTTCTTTTTTCTTTTTTTGCAGTCATGGGGCTTGAACTCTAGGCCTGGGCGCTGTCCCTCAGTTCTTCAGCACAAGGCAAGCTCTCTACCACTTGAGCCACAGTGATTTGCAGGTGTTAATTGGAGATAAGGGTCTCATGGACTCTCCTACCAGGGCTGGCTTTGAACCATGATCCTCAGATCTCAGTCTCCTGAGTAGCTAGGATTACAGAGCCATCCACTCGAAGTCCTGCTGCTTTCTTATAGACTTAGTTCCTGCCCACTCAATGCAGCCCTGAGCTCCCCCCCTCCCCACCTACCAGTGGCATTTGGTGGCACCTCGGGCAGGGCCTGGGCTCAGGGTGTAAGTCACCCCCTCTAGCACTTGTCCCCATGGACAGGCCCTTAGACGGTGGCATGGGTCACATCTCACCTGCGTTTGGCTTCCCTCTTGTCCTACTTTCTCTATCATTTTAGATGATTATTGGCAGGAAAGAGAGAGATCTATTGGGCCCTGGTTATTGGACCACTTCTGGCTCTACCTCCAGTGGCTTCTGCATGCTGGGAAGAAAGGCTGGAGAGAAAGGGCAGTCAGGGGAGTGAGTGTGTGTCTGTGTGTCTGTGTGTGTGTGTCCATGCCAGGGTCTGGAGGGCCTGTGGTTACCAGCAACGATGCTGGGAATGGGCGAGATGCCTGGAGGAGCAGTGGCCTCAGGGGTATGAGAACTCACGGCTCACAATGTGGTAGCTGGGAAGGGAGGGAGGGCGGCTTCTGTGACAGCCATCTTGTGGGCTTGGGCCTGGAAGCTTCACTTACCATGTCACCTGGGTAGCCAGGTAAGCTTTTGCCCACCTCTCTCTGGCTTGTTCATTCATTCCTGTAGCAAAATTTCTATGCTTGGCACAGTTGGTAAGATATCAACCACAAGAGGTGTCACCTAGTCCTGGAGAGAGCCACAGTCCCCAGGTCTTGTCGTGCTGCATATGTGTTTGGAAGACTGGCTTTTGGCCCAGAGATGGGGAAGGAATCTCGGGAGCAGAGGTCAGAACTAAACCCCAGGTGACAATGGAGGACTTTGTGAATCCTGATATTTATGACATCACGATAAATAAGGGGTTGGCTCAGCTGTAGATCCCTTGTCTGGCACGTGTGAGGCACTGGGCTCCATTGCTAGCACTGCAAAGACAAATGACAAAACCAAGACCTGGTGATAATCTGTCCTCACTTGGAATCTTACGGCTGCCTTTGCCAGTGCTTCCCTGTGAGCGTTCATACCCAGGGTGACTACCTTTCACTGGCAGCTTCTTCTCTAACCCACCGTGCCCAGGGAGGGCAGCATCTCCACTTTACCCATAGCAGACCACTTGCCAAACAAAGCCACTGGCTTTCAAGTTCAAGCCTGTGGATTGCATGCTGCCAGGACCTTGGTGCTCCCCATTCCCCTCCTCCCTCTGCCTTTCAGGTTCTGGGGCCCAGGGCCTGTGAGCTTGGGCTGGATTCCCAGGGCACTGGGGGTCAGACACTGCCGTAAGGCAGTCATGGGGTCCCCTCTTCTCACTGTGACATTTGTCTTGTAGATCCTTAGCTCCTCCAACTTAACTGGAGGAAGAATCTACAGTGATAATAAGCAAGGGCCTTTGTGTTGCTGGTGTGAGAAGCTGCCCCAGGGCTATGCCTCTGCAAAAGGGAGGCCGAGGGACTCCAGCCCAGACCACAGACCACAGAGTATGGAGACGCCATGGGGAAGACTATTGACAGTGCACCGTGGGGAACAGGGTGGGGGACAGAAATGGAGGCATGCTAAGAGCAAACCATCCCTAAAATCACCCAATTCTAAGTCTCCTTCAGCATTCAGGACAAATAGATTTGCCTCTTTGCACAAAATCCTTTCTTTTCCCCATCCTAGTAATTGCTAAATTAAAATCCTTTTACCTTGTGAGACTGTGGCTGGGGTGGCCTCCAGGAGTATCTGGGGGCCCCTTCCCCATCCTGTGCTGCTCGGAAGTGTGGGCTGCATGCAGTGCTGGCTGGACTTGATCAAGGCAGTTTGTGTAAAGAATGGAGATATTTTAGCAGTTTGTCAGAATGTCTAGGAGCTCATCAGATCAAGGACAGGATCTCTATGCAAACCATAAAAGCACAATCAAAAGCAGCCAGGAAACCATGGCTCCAAGGCCCATTTGGATGGACCTAGAAAGATGGCACTGTTCCCTGGATCTTCCGATGCCCCCACATGGTTCTAGTGGCATGCAGGCTTTACCCAGTGTCACACGGGCTGAGCCCTTGCCATCTAGTGACAGAGCAGCTGGGAAGAAGGGAATGAGGGCACAGCCCTTGTGCTTCCTTCCCCCAGCACACACACACACCCCTCCCACCCCAGACCAATAATGCACATCAAAGCTGCTTTCACCGTTGAACACTTCCTAGAAAATGGTTTCCCAGTGAGACTAGAAACAGGGAACTGAGTCTGCGGTGATCTTTCTATCATGATGTGGTTGCTGACCTTGAATTCCCCTTTTGGGACTTGTACCAGGAGAATGCAGCATGGAGGGGACTTTCCTGCCCCACTCCCCCCAACTCCTGCCCCCCACCAGGCAGGAGATCCGGCCAGCCCCACCACAGGGTGCCTCTCTCAGGTGCATTTCACACCCCATTGGGTCTTTTTCTGCATCCTGTGCCATCCTCTCTGAACCCCCCCCCCCAGTACTTGTTAATGAGCAGCCTAATGTGCTGACTTCCTAGTCCCTTCTTGGTCCATTATAACAAAAGTTGCTCTTTTCCTCATTAGGACCACGTTTGTCAGGGTGTCTTTAATCAATGGCTTCCCCCGGGACAATATTTTTAGAAGTTGTATTTTTCACACTCTCCCTTTTCCCCTTTTGGAACTTCTCTTCCGTGTGCCTGGTGAAACAAGCTAATGAGATGCCAGGAGAGTTCGGGCCAGTGTTAATTGGACCAGGTATGGAAGCAGCACTTGTGCACACCTTCAGTCTTGCCTTACCTGCGACTCTCTTCTCTCTCTCCCCGGTGCAGGTGGCACAGACAGCAGATGGCGTGGATGCTGACCTCTGGAAGGACGGCTTATTCAAGTCCAAGGTTACCAGATACCTGTGTTTCACAAGATCATTTTCCAAAGAAAATGTAAGTCTAGTGGTGATTTCTGTTTGCTGACAATGCAGAAGTGATTTACACTTCTGTTTGGAAATTTCCTCTTTTTTTTTGTTGTTGTTGTGGTGGTTTATTTTCATTGCCATATTATTTGTGGTTTTAGGGAACTGGGTAGCATCAGCAGCCAGCAGTATGTCCCATTTATTAACAGTGTTATTAGCTATGTACCCAAGTGTACAGTGAATTCCATTAAAATGTCTTCTCCAAAGGACATCAGGAAATTTCTCTCCCAGCTCTCATTTACCTACTTTTTCCTCACCAAGCAGCAAGCAGTGAATCACCGGGCAGTATACATGGGAGAGTAGCCAGTGAACTTGGCTTAATGCTGGCCAGCCAGTACAGCTTAGCTCTAAGGGAGGCCCCAAGGCTGCTCCTGGCTCCCCACACCCAGCCTCAGACATGGCCATATTTCCAGAAGGGCCTTTCCCTTCTCTCTGAGTCTTTCTGGGACATAGGTCTTGCCGTTATTTTTGTAGGTAGGTATCCACACGTGCAGATTGTAAATTTTGATACTTGGACCCTAAGTTAGGAAATTATAAAGGTATTTACAATGACTTTGCCAATATAGCATTTTAATGAATAGTTTAGCAAAAATGGGAAGGGAATTTCTTTCCCTGGTGAGGAATCCCAGGCATCTGTAAATGCCTCCAGGGTCACCCTCTTTCCACACACACCAAGACCCTGAAGTTTATGACTTGTCCACCGTCACCTGTTTTCCCTGGCCCCAAATAGGGAGCATTCAGATTTTCTTTTTTTTTTTAAGTTGGGGGAAGGAGAGGGCATTTTATTTTTGGCTAAATGTTCTTGTCGCTCTCAAATGCAAATCTTTTTTTAAAAATTGCCACTTCACTTTTATACATTTAACTATAAGGAATAATACTGGTTTATGATTAATAAGATCAACCAAAACCAGAGCAACTTGAAACCTTCTTGTTGAGAAGCATGAAGGGGAGAGTCTTTCTGACGCAGCCCCCAGCCCAGGTGTGGCCAGGTAGGGCTCTGCGGTGTTCTGGCTCCCGCTCCCTGCCTTCCCTGTTCCTGTCATTCATTGGTTCTGTTTTTTTTATATTGACTCCTAATGTGTTGGGACATTCATTTCTTCTTTCCACCTAATTACAAGAGCCGTGCATTTGCTTGTAGTCGGCGCACTTTGTGACTGAGGAGAAGGCATTGGTGGGCTCAGGGAGTGTTTTTACTGCAGGGATTTAAATGTGTTTTGAATACCGGGAACATGGCCCAGGCACGTACAGTGTACCCACGCAGGTCCCACCGCTCCCCGGAGCCCAAGGAGACACCAGACAGCAAACGTGGAGGAGACAGCAGACAGCAAGCCTGGTGGTGGCATTGCCCTCCCAGACATGAGCCCCTGAGGGTATCAGTAGGTCCTATCACCCTCCTTTTTCTACCACCCCTCCCAGGGGCCTACCAGCATCACTGTCCCTGGAGCTTTTGAGCTCCTGTCACCTCTGTTCTGTTGCTGGCCACTACTGCTTCCTGTGGAGGGTCAGTCAGCACGCTCCTGCGGCCTGGCTGTGAGGGGACTGTCCCCAGATCTGGACTAATGCTTGTCTGCACCCTTCTCCTTTTAGCTTCCAGGTGTTCCTTCCTGGTCTCTAAGGCTCATCTGCCAAGACCACAGAGGCTTCAGTCACAGCTGCAGAAGACGGCTATGACCTCTGTGGCCAGTTCTGGTTCTGTGTGTGTGTGTGTGTGTGTGTGTGTGTGTGTAGTTACATTTTCTCCACTGGCCTGCAGGGAAAAGAGGCACCACTCCCTAGGGAGTGTGGTCAGTGACAAGTCCAGCCAAAAAGATGTCACCAGGGCTTGTTAGTTTTGTGTGTCCCGAGTACCTATGTTCTATGGAACACATTGATTTGTTGACCATCCCCAGCTGAGTATTGAGGTGCTGAGGGGTATCAGGGAGCAAAAGAGCAGTGGAGGAAGCCCCTGCCACACTTCGATGCAGTGTGGAAACTGGGTTCGCTCCATTTTGGGGAACAATAAATGGGATCGAGATGGTCAGGTCAAGGGATGAACTTTATTTGGAATGGAATCTCGGGGGTTGGCAAGAGCCCAACTGCCAGCCAGGTGAAGTGGGACAGGAACCAGGGGTATCTTAACTGGTTTCATCCAGTCGGTCCTGGCCCTTGCTGTTTGAACCATGGCTTTGTAGAGCATAATTTTTCCAGCAGTGCTGGAAGGTGGGGGGGACCTCAAAGCTGGGCAGATTCTTAATTAGGTGACTTGAGACTCCCAGTGTAGGAGTTTGGGGAGCCTCCTTTGGAACCTAAATTCCTTTCCCCCAATAATGCTATTAATACAGAAACCCGGCTTCGGAGTGACATTGCTTCCTGGGGAAGGATGGAGATTAATTGCACTTTTCATGCCCTGTACTTTCTGCATTACCTGTAATAATAATGTACATAGATTAGGTAGGGAGGATATTAAACAGAAGGATTTATGAACATTTGAATATTAAGTTGGTTATCTGTGGCTACCTTAAATGCAAGGTTGTCAAAAATAATTACAGTATACTAGCAAATACTGGCTACCAGAGACAATATAAATACACTGAGTCAGTGCGTATTGGGCTTTTGGCATGAATCATGTGCTCAACAAGGATTGGGAATACGTTCTTCATATTTATGAGGAGGAAATGAAAGGGAGCCCGGATGGGGGAGGGGAGAGGAACAAGCAAAATTAATGGTGTCACAGCCCAAGTATATTAAACCTGCATAGCGGCAGCCCCAAGCATGAGGGCCTCGCTTGGGCTGCAGGAAGCTTCACCCGTGCAGCCTCCCATTTGGTATGCACAGGACGGTTTTCTGGTGCTTATTTTCATGGAGGCACACACCCCCTCCCGTGCTCTGGTCGCTAAGTGGTTTGCAGTTGACTTCTGTAAAACCCAACTTGTCGAGTCAAAGACGTTGGAGAAGGATATTGATGAATGCCCATCCATCTACAGGGCAGCAAAACATGCCCAGTTGTTAATTTCTCAATGCAGAAAGCAGTGATGACATGGAAAAGCAACTGGCATGAAAAAAAATTATGATAGATTAGATCAGGCAATTCTGAAAGCAGCTGATGTGTGTGAGTTGGGCGAGCGGTCAGAGATTTATTCCGCGTTGCGGGGGCGGGGGTGTCATGTCCCACTAACTGTGCACATTGTCTTCCTGAGGAACCCCCTCCCACACACCCCCGCCATCTGGGATGTAATAACACTAAATTGTTGGCCAGTGTCATAATGCTCAGAGAGGAAAGAATGGATTCTTGATGGCAGGCCACGAACTCACCCGTCACGGGCTCCACTTGCCATCTTGACCTTCATATTGCCGTGTGAGGAATTCATTTCCTTTGTGTACTTTTGGTTCATAATGTATTTCTTAAACACACTTTCAGAATTCTTTATGATATGGCTTAGATTTTATGATATGCCACCTAAAGCAAATCTGATTTGATTTCTGACTCTCAGTGACCCACTCAGTTGAAAAATGTGCCCCCAAACGTTAATTGATTCGGCAGATAACTATCAGGCACCCGTGGTGGGACAAGCACTATGCTAGGCTTGGGTTTGGGGTGGGAGCAGAGATCATTTTGGTTCCCATGGCATTTAAAGCTCTAGTGGGACCATAGATTTTAGACACATAATTTCACAAGTAAGATTCTAAAGGGACACAAAGTTCACACACACACACACACACACACACACACACACAGAGTACAGTGGGGCATGGCTTAGTTTAGATGACAGGAATTTCCTGATGACTTTCAGAGACTCTGGTGTCATGTGGTGGCAGAGTGAGTCCTTGGCTCCCTGGGTAGGGAGTTGGAGATGGAACCTTCCCTCCCTACCCTCCCCCAGCCCCCAGCAAGACAGGAACAAAGGCCTACAAGGTTGTGGCCAAGGGCAGAGCATAGGCTGACTGGCTGGAAGGCTGTCCAGACAAGCCAAAGGAGAACAGGTCATTCTGGGCTCTGGAGGCTACGGTAGGGGAAAATAGGGGTATGTAGTGTTTTGCTTTGTATCCTAACAGGAGAGATATGGGACAAGAACCCATCATTCTTCCCTTAACTGGCTCTGATGAGGCTGCAAATGGCCCTGAAGATGTTATTGAAATCTCTGTGGTGGCCCTGTGTATTTAAGTTGCAGGACAAATTTCTTTAGGGCTGTTTCTAAATGTGAAATGCAGGCTGCAAGTGCCGGCGTGCTCACAAAGAATTCTCACTTGCAGTTACAGAATGGGGCACTAGTCTTTGAAAGATGTTTTTATACCAGTTACGTAAAGTGCGCACAGTGGACCCCACATCCCATCACTAAACAGGAGCTGTAAGAGGCCCTTTGTGCATGTCCTTTCAGAAGACGTGGAGTACGGAGGCAGCAGGGCATTTACTCTGCTTATGATTCTTGGGAGTTTTTACAGAAAGTATCTAATAACCAAAATGTGCATCTATGTGCACACTCCCATCTGGGTCCAGTGGCAATTCTCCCTACAGGTGTCCTCAGGAAGCTGCTCTTTCCCAAGCCTGCTGGCTTTTGCTGTTTGTGACACCCAGGGCTGAGTGGCCGCAGGTCCAGGGACCTGTGCACAGCTACCCTCTGCTGGGTTCTAGCTACAGAGTTTTCTGGATCATCCGTCCAGCTCACCAAAGCTGAGTCTGAGAAGGTAGCCTTGAGGTTCTGGACATGAAACTCCTTCCCGGGGGCCACTGGAGTCCCTGTGTAACCATGAGGGAACATTAAGTGTCACCTACTCTAATTAACCTGCTGTCGTAAAGCTGCATGAGTCATCGTGTTAAATATGCATCTTCAAGCCAACATGGCCAACCTACCGCAGGCAGGTTCAGATTAATCGTCTGTATCTCTTTTCTTCTTCCCAAGAGTCATTTGGGGAACGTGCTAGTGGACATGAAGCTCATTGACATCAAGGACACACTGCCCGTGGGCTTCATCCCAATCCAGGAGACGGTGGACACACGTGAGTCACCCCCTAGTGCTGCCAGTCCCGTGCCAGTCTTCTTTCCCCCAGGAGGACTTTGGATGATTTTCCTTGGGATATACTAGGAGACCTCACTGTGTGCCAGGAACAGAGCCTGCTGCTCATGATGCCTGTCTACCTGGGTCTCTGAGGCATCTGCAGTGTTCCTGGTGGTGGTGTGTGAACACCTCAGGAATGGAACCAGAAATCTGGTGACAGCCTCCATCTTTAGTCTGTCCTCTGATACTCCTGAAGCCAAACATGACCCAAGACCCAGAAGCAAAAAGAGGGAAATCAAAAGGTGCTTGGGAACCAGAAGGGCAATGATGTGTCCATTTTGGTCTCATGCAGCAAACTAGAAAGTAAGCCAGAAAGACTGCAAGTTAGAGCACACAGGACTTGAATTTGACTACATCTTTTGATCACTGAGCCATGCTGGGCAGAAGTAAACACTGCTGAAACAGAACCTACCTCAGGCCCCACAGCACTGGACCTGGAGCATTGGAACCAAAGCACTATGGTTTTGGTCCTGCTGTTCTTGTTCTGTGGTGCAACAGTGCTGGGAAACTTCTAAATGTTTACACTTCTTCACTTTGCTGTAATTCATGTATTGTGCTTACTTTTGATTCTGTGTTAGCACCTTAGGAGTTTGCACAGCAGCTTCCTCCTTCTGTGGCATGAGTCATGTGTGCAGTTCTGCCTTTCCTTCTTCATTATGCTCACATTCTTCCATAGTCAGCCTTCTCTGGGGTCACTGTCGGTTTTCCATTTTCCTGCTGGTATTTCCCACAGAATAGTCTCTATATTGGTATAGATACCGCCATAGTTCTGTTACCTGAATGAAGCAGGCAGATCCTATTGTAAAGGTGTGTGTGTGTGTGTGTGTGTCTGTCTGTCTGTCTGTCTGTCTGTCTGTGTGCCTGGGTGTCTTTGGTCCATTGTTCGTTAATTATGAAATAGCATCCAGCCATGTCCTTCTGCATCTGCATGTCTGGTTGTCTTGGCACCATTTGTGGAAAAGGCTCGTCTCTCCCCCATTGATTGGTCTCAGTGTTTTGGTCAAGGAGCACTGGGCTGTAAACACAGGATTTTATTTCTGAACTTGGAGTTCTTTTCCATTGATCCATATGTCTTTCCTTATGAGGTTACCACACAGTCTAGATTTGAAAGAAAGGTTTAAAACCCTCCAACCTTGCTCTCTTGCAATTTGGTTTTGGCTATTCTGGAGGTTCCTGGATTACCATGTGAATTGTAAGATTAACTTGTCTGCTTCCGGACAGAACCAGCTGAAATTTTTTTGATAGGAAGGAATCTTTGACTCTGTTGATGAGTTGTGTGTGTGTAGACTGGGAATGATTTCCTTGTGATAATTTCCCCAGTGCTGGAGCTACAGCACCCCTCTCCACATGAAATGCATCCCTCATCTCCCCACACCCCACTTCTTGCTGCCCCGGTCCTCACCACGCCTTCCTCACTACCCTTTCTCTTCTGACTCCAGGTATGCGAGTTGCTGTTTTACCTGCCCATAGTGCCTTCCCTTGGCCCAGGAAGCCCCCCTGACCCCATCCTTTGTGTGCCCATGCGGGTGACAGTCTGGCATTAGGTCGCCTTGTGGCAGCTTGTGCTCCTTTCTGCAGAGCTTCAGGCCAGGCGCTGCAGGTGCCAAGTCGGGAGAAGAGCGAGGAGCTCAGGCCACAGGGCATCAGGCCTGCCGGCAAGGACCCACCTTGCTACCATGTCCAGCAGGAGGCACTGTTGGCACTGTAAACTGGCAGAGGTCAGGGCCGTGTTGCCTCCTTTGCTGCCTTGCAGAGCACCTGGCATGGCCCGAGTTATAGAGGGATGGAGGACAGCAAGCAGATGCAGGTCCGGGAAGCCAGGCAGGACCCGCCTGCCTCTTAGAACAAGCTGCTGTGTGCTAGCATGGTTGGAAGAACTTAGACTCTGGTATCCATCTTACCTACTATTCAGTCTGACTCTGCCACTTACAGCTGTGCAGCCCTGGGCAGATCCCCTCACCTTCCTGGTCTCAGTTTCCTCATCTGCCAAGTGGGGATGGGGGTGGGGGCTCTTCCTACCCCTTGCAGTTTGTGTCCTAGCTGCTGCTTTGGTTTCCTCAGCCCTTGCTCCTTCTCTCTCTCTTGAGAACGTAGACCATGTCTACAGGAATCACCTGTGCTTCTCGCCGGGCATGGAGCCTTCAGCAGCACATGGCCTCCGTGGAGACCCACTTTACTCCCCTCTGCTGCCAGTGGACGCCCAGAAATCTCCTGTTCTGGGGATGATCCGGGCGTGTGCCTGATTCCCATACCTCCCAGTATAGATGTCCACACTCTTATTCAGTTTTACTATTCTACTTGTTTTTAACTTTTTTGTTTTTGTTTTTGTTTTTTTTTTGGTCCATCGTGGGGCTTGAACTCTGGGTTTGGGCGCTGTCCCTGCGCTCTTCAGCTCAAGCCTAGTACTCCGCCACTTGAGCCACAGCACCACTTCCGGTTTTCTGATGGCTTGTGGGAGATAAGAATTTCACTGCTTTTCCTGCCCGGGCTGGCTTTGAACTGCAGTCCTCAGATCTTAGCCTCCTGAGTAGCTAGGATTACAGGTGTGAGCTACCGGCGCCTGGCAATTGTATCTAACCTTTATTCTACTATTCACTAGCAAGGTTAGGCCTTTACACTGGTGCTTTTACTTCTTCTTACATCAACTAAAATTTCTTGTTAATATCCGTCCCCTACTCCCAGGCCTTTCACATTTGTGGGCTTGGCATGGCTGTTTGTTTTGAATAGTTAGTGGGCCCCACTGTCTTTGCATTGGTTTGCTCCTGAGGCACAGGGCAGTTTTTCCTCTGCTGGTGAACTTGGTCAATGAGGGGCCTGGGGCTGAGACCTGTCTGGGCTGTCGTCAGAAGTTGGGGATCATGTAGGCCTGGTTGAGAAGCCTGTCCCCCATGGCTGGGGCTCCATCAGGTGGCGTCTACCATGCACATTCTGAGGTCAGGCCCTGGACTCTCCATCAGGTGCCTGCACAGAACCTCAGGTCTGAGGACCCCTTCCTTTTTTTGGGGGGGGCGGTCGTGGGCCTGAACTCTGGGCCTGGGCGCTGTCCTCAGTTCTTCAGCTCAAGGCTAGCGCTCTACCACTTGAGCCACAGCACCACTTCCAGCTTTTTTCTTTTTGCTTATGTGGTGCTGAGGAATTGAACCCAGGCCTCATGCATGCAAGGCAAGTGCTCTACCACTGAGCCACCTTCCCAGCCCTGAGGACCCCTTCCTTTCTAATCAAGGACCATTTCCCAGAGACTTCATCCAGGGAACAGGGAGCCTTGTGTCTGCCCCTCCTCTCCTGTCCCAGAGAGTACATAAGGCTCTGAGTTCATAAAGTCAGCCAAAAAGATGAGAATCCTGTAATTGATTTCAAATAGAGTTTGCGGCAATCCACAGAGCACTTAAACCTGGGAAGACTGTTTTGTTTTAGTAAAGGGCTGTGTGCTTTCCTTGTGTTTTTAGCATGACTGAACACAGTTCTATTGCCTGTGGATAATACACTTACTTAAAAAGCAGGCCTGCTAGGGCCTGCACAGTGTAATGAGCGGTTCCAGCCCTAACCCCAGGGGGCGGCAGACAGAGGGTGGGCTGGGGCCAAAGGCTGCATGGCTAAAGCACGCGATCTTCCTGCACTTGGCTCTGTTTGAGGCAGGCCTTGTCTTCTGCACATTTCCTCAGGTGCTTTTGGTGCTGGTCTGACTGCTCAGCCATTGGTTTTTGAAGGTGCTGGGTTGCTCTCGGGGTCTCCTCACCAGGATCCCATTCTGCCTTGTCAGGGACAAGGTTTAGGGTCTGGATTCAGGACATCATTACAGCCTATAGGGCTGATACAGCCGATACAGCCTTCAGCTTCTACACCAGGGAAAGAAGCTCCAGAGTTTCTAAGCTCCAACATGGCTTCATTTTATAGATAGCAAAACCGAGGCCTACAGCATTCAATCAACTCTCCTAAGGTCAGGGCACCAGAATAAGTCAGAGTTGGGATTTCAGCCCAGATCCAGCTGACTCATGGATTGTTTGAAACCATGTTCAAAACCACAAATGAACCACAAGATACACTTTATCACTGGTCACTGCAGCACTTGCTAGAGCCCCAGCTCTCTGAGCTGAGACTTGACAATGAAAAAGAGCCCAGCTATTCATCCTCCTCTGTGCGAATCTGCTCTCAGCAGGCCAAATAATAGGTGGAGAAGTTTTATAGTTAGAGGAATTCCAGCTAACCAGGACACAGACCATCATGAGCTGTGTGTCTACCTGTACAGCCTGGATGTGGCCTAATCCAGCCTTTACCTACCTGAAACGGGACAGAATGCCCTGATCTCTCCAGCCTGTGTGTGCCCTGAAGAGAAATCGAGCAGGAGAGGTTGGGACAGAAGAAAAGGATTGAGAGATCCATCAGCCTGGTGTGGCCTTGAGCCATACAAATCAGCAGTTAGTAATGGTCTGAAATAATGGAGAAGGGCTGGGAAGGTGGCTCAGTGGTAGACGCTTGCCTTGCATGCATGAAGCCCTGGGTTCGATTCCTCAGCACCACATAAGCAAAAAGAAAAAAAGCCGGAAGTGATGCTGTGGTTAAAGTGGTAGAGCGCTAGCCTTGAGCTGAAGAGCTGAGGAACAGCGCCCAGGCCCAGAGTTCAGGCCCCATGACCGGACCCAAAAATATAAAAGCTAGATAACTGAAATAATGGAGAAAAGTTGACTATAAGGAAATTTCCTGATTTCATTAGGAATGCACATGGCGGTGTGGAAACAAATGCCTGCTGAGAGGGAGGTGGTCAGGACCTGGTGCTAGGGAGTCATTCACTGGCAAGAGTTGATGCCCGGTGAAGGGAACATGGGCGTTGAGTCTCTTGCTCCCCACCACCACCATGCACACACTGTGGGGGATGATTAAAGATTTACGTAATAAAGAAAAGAAGGGCACGTGGTGAAATGTGCTAACACATTTACTCCGGGGCTGGGGAAGCCCAGTGCTCTGTATATAGAAGAATTATGGCTAATCAGAACATCCACTAACCCAGCTCAGGGGCCTGTGGCCTCCTGGGACCCACTTCTGGGCTGGCTGGCTGAGACTGGGTCCTGAGCATGGAGCAGGGTAACCGATGTCCTCTATTGTCACGGCCTGTCCACTGCAGCCCAGGAAAGGCAGGGGTAGAGCCTAGCCCTCCATCTGGTGACAGCGATCTGTCACTTCTGCTGCCTGGAAGGGGACATGCCAGGACACATGCTCTTCAGAGCAGAGGTGGGGCATCTCCGTGACTCATCCCTTCCCTGTTCTTTCCTTCAGAGGAGGTGGCTTTTAGGAAGAAGAGGCTGTGCATTAAATTTATCCCCCGGGATTCCACAGAAGCGGCCATTTGTGACATCCGAATCATGGGCCGGACCAAGCAAGCACCTCCTCAGTACACATTTATCGGGTGAGTCAACAGTGCGGTTCCATCTGTTGTGTCCTCCGGAGAGCGTTCGGGTCGCTTAGAGGATGAGGCTCACCAGGTTCTCAACTGCCCCATCAGCCTCACCACGCTGGGCCCTGACACCTCACCCCCCCCCACAGCTGTGGAGCATCCATTTTGTATACTGAGTACACACGGAACGTGGGAGGGAAAGGGTGAAGCAAAGGCCCTGCTCTCCCACAGCTGCTGCTCTCAAAGGAAGAGGTGCACAGTGAACGAGAAGATAAATGACAGGGCTCGCACGGTGAGGGAAATGTGCCCTAGTGGTGACTTGCGGCTACTCCAATTAGGAGTCAGGAAGGTGACTTTGAGCAAAGGTGACCTTGGTGTCAGGAGAAGCCAGCGGTGAAGGCGAGCAGGCAGAGCAGGAGTTAGTGTGGAAGCAGGGTGGGGTGCAGCATGCTCTAGGAACAAAGAGTCCCACACGCCTAGCGTGGGCAGGAAGGGACCGGGTATTGGACTGGGGGCCTCCGGGGACGTGGCTGCTGTCTGTTTTATTCCCAACACAATGCAAAGCCATTGGAAGTTTCCAAGTCAGGAAGAATCACAAATATCACGTGATTTGGTGCTCACTCATGGGAAGTCTGTGGTTAAGTGCTGTCTTCTGATAGGCAGACAGTCCCTGGGCCTAGCCGGTGACATGCAGTTCACTGGCAGCCTCAGTGCAGGGCCTGGGCCTGGCCCTGAAGCCGCTTCATAGTTCCAGGTACAAAGCAATCCCAGCATTCCCTCTGGTCATAAGTGACAGGAAGCCCCACCCAGACTGGCCTAAGCAGAGGGAAAAGTTTGAACAAATGAGTTCAGGAGCCAGTGGGCTCCAGGTAGCCGGAAGTAGTTCAGAGGACTCCAAGACCCCCCCCCCCTTGCCTAGTCCCCTGGGAGGACTCCACCTCACACCTGCTCCCCCTGGTAGGCATGGTGGCTGTGTCAACTTAGCATCTATCCCCTGGGAGGCAGAGAGTAAGTCTATAGCCAAGTTCTAAATCCCGTCTCGTTGGTCAAATAGGGTCAAGTGCAGAGAGCTGATCAGTGTTCTCTGGAAAGTGTCATTCTCTGACGGAGCAGGCTGAGCTGGAGGCAGAGTCAGCTCTATTCGAACTGAAGGACAGATAAGAAGACATATGAAGAGAGATAAACATGAAGGGAGATCAAAGTCAGAAAGGCCAGAGCTGAGATGAGCGGAAGCCGGGTGTCCAAAAGCAGATGCACGCTGTGCTGTCAGCTGACATCGGGTCTCCCAGATGATTCAGCCCAGGGGATGGTTTTCAGCCCATAGCCATGGCTTCCTTCCCTAGCACAGCTCTCAGCTCTGTAAGCACCGTACAGCTCACCATAGGTTCCCAGCAGTACGTTCTGTAACTCGGCTTCCCAGGTCAGCTGCTGGGCCTGAGTTTGCCATTGTTTGGCTCTTGTCCCCTTTAAACTCAGGGCCATCTTTTACTTCCCAAGCTAGTGCTTTTCCTCTTGGCACTGGGCCGCAGACAGGGCCTAACTGTACGAATGAAGTGTGTCACAGAAATGGAATTAACTTCATCTTGGTGCACTGTTTTGTTTTTTTTTAAACTCCTCAGCTCTGGATCCAACTGCTCTGAACCAACTTAAGATGCACTTGGGCTGGACATGTGTGTAGCTCAAGATGGAGCATGTGCTCGGCATGGGCAGGATCTGGGGTCTTCCCTCCTCTTCCCCCCTTCCCCTGGCCCCGCACCTCTGTGATCATTAACTTCCTCCACACTTTGGAGCCAGGCATTGGTGGCTCACACCTGCACTCCTAGCTACTCAGGAGATTAAAATCTGAGGATTGCAGTTCAAAGCCAGCCAGGCAGGAAAGTCCATGAGATTCCTATCTTCAGTTAACTATCAGAAAACTGGAAGTGGAGCTGTAGCTTAAAGTGGAAGAGCACTAGCCTTGAGCACAAAGATGCTCAGGGACATTGCCCAGGCCCTGACTTTAAGCCTAACAACTGATCAAAATAAAACAAAACAAACAAAACTAAACAAAACAAAAAAAACTACTGCTTTGGTCAGGTGCTGGTGACTCATGCCTGTAATCTTAGCTACTCAGGAAGCTGAGATCTGAGGATCGTGGTTCAAAGCCAGCCCATGCAGAAGAAAGTCTGTGGGACCCTTGTCTCTAATTAACCACTGAAAAGCTGAAAGTAGAGCTATGGCTCAAGTGGTAGAGCACTAGCCCTGGGCAAAAAAAGCTAAAAGACCACACTCTGGTCCTGACTCAAGCCCAATTCCAATGTACACTCTCACACACACATACACACATACCTGTTTTGTGCAACATGCTATAGACTAATTATTTGCAAACAGGTTACAGGAGGGGAAAAACATTCAGAATAACCACACTTTCCTAGAAACAGTGTTTTACATACAAATAGCAGAAACCAGCCATTCAGTAATGAACTTGAAAGTCTAAATGCAGTTACTATGTGTATTTTAATTACAAACTATACCTTTGTAAAATGGTGCAATTTTAACCAATTTAAACAATTCCAAAGAATAGATTTTACCTGTATTTGTCTTGATAAGCAAAGCTAGACTCTTTTTTTCCCTTATATAATTTTGAAAAGGTAGTTTCATTTTACCATATTCATTCTTTTTTAAAAAGTCAGTGATAATTCGTTAGCTTTTAGTGGTTAGTTGGAGATGAGTCTCATGGACTATTCTGTCCCAGCTAGCTTTGAACCGTGATTGTTAGATCTTTAGCCTCCTGAGTAAGTAAGATCACAGGCGTGAGCCATCAGGGCCTGGCAAAGTCACTTATTCTTAAAAACGAGTCCACTGCACACATTACCGCATAAGGACGTGAGGTTGCCCTGAGGGAGGCAAACCTCCCGTTGGAAGGGACTGCTGGAAGCCTGAGCCAGGACAGAGTGCTGTGCCAGTGTGTAGGGAGGACTTCCTCAAATAGGACGGTGTTAAGGTTTAGAACAATTGCTAGAGAGCTCTGAGAAGCTTATTAAGAGTAGCCAGAGAATAATAGTTCGCAGAGTTTTTTGAAGAGATGCTACTCTTCTGCTTCTGATCCCAAAGATGCCGTTTGGAGGGGGGGGGGACAGGGAGAGGAGGGAGTAGAGAAGTTGAATGTGGCCCAAGTCATTCTGGTTCAGTTCCTAAGAGCATGCTAGTGTCATTAGGACAGCCATGCCGGGCACTGCCAGGCTCAGGGTGCGTGGAGAAGTCAGTCCTGCAGTTGGCACAGTCACCTCCCCCCTCTACCCCTCCCCCCCCATACACACACTAGGCCCTGGTTGGGATGCCTTGAGCACCAATGGGAGGAGACATGTCTCATCTTCCGTGGGCCAGAATGGAATCTCTGGGCTTTGAAGCTGTGGGTCATGAAGGAGCTGGTTTGCCACAGCCCATGAAACTGCCTCCTTTTCTCCTGAAGGGAACTGAACAGCATGGGGATCTGGTACCGAATGGGCAGAGTGCCAAGAAACCACGACTCGTCCCAGCCCACCACGCCTTCACAGTCATCGGCCGCCTCCACCCCAGCCCCCAACCTGCCCAGGTAAGCCTCACGGAGGCATCGCGTGTGCTCACTCAGGTGGTCTGGGGGGCTCACAGCACGTTAGAGTACATCCACTTAGTAGCACCGTAGAACTGAAAATGTACACAAGTTTCAGCGTGTGCCTTTAGAGATGATTAAAACTCCTGGTTCAAAATCTGTGTGCTTTGTGGATGTAAAGCCTGCTCTATATCCTCTTTTATGCACGTGTTACAGCAGCAGAATCTGAAAGCTAAAATTGCTATTCAAAAAGCTCGCTGATATGCAGACACATGTGCAGGAGCCACATGGTCAGAGCCTCCCGGCCTCCAGAAAGTGCGCTTTCCTCTCGGCCTTGGCCATTTGAAACACCCAGAGGGACCGGACAGTAATGGTATTCATGTTATAACTGCATCTTTTCCACTGCGATACAAACCAAGAAAAGGGAATTAGAGGTGGGGGGCGGGAATGAGAAGTTTTAAGGAGATGGTGTTCTTTTTAGCAAGTGATCTCACAGAGAGACCAAGGTGACCAAACTGGTCACTCTGGTACTGATGGGGTTGGGCCAGAGGGAGGGTGTAATGGTCTCGATCCTCATTGCAGCCTATGAAATAAAACAGTGCATTGCACAGAGGGCATCTGCCCTCTGTGTGCTGTTCCTCCATGCCCTCACTGGCAGAGCACTGCTGTCTGAGCCACAAAACCAAGGCTTCCCTGCTTCAGGACCCCTGCCTTGAAAGACAGCTGGGTCTTTGTCCTGAATTTTGCATGCTGGGGTGTTGTTCAAACATAACTAGCAGCTGGGCACCGGAGGCTCACGCCAGTAATCCTAGCTACTCAGGAGGCTGAGATCTGAGAATCACAGTTCAAAGCCAGCCCAGGCAAGGAAAGTCTGTGAGACTCTTATCTCCAATAAACCACTAGAAAACCGGAAGTGGCACTGTGGCTCAAGCAGTAGAGGGCTCACCTTGAGCTGAAGAGCTGAGGGATAGCGCCCGAGCCCAGAGTTCAAGCCCCACGACCGACCAAAAAACAAAAAAACAAAAACGTAACTAGCTCTGCCAGGTCCCTGTTATCCCAGCTACTCAGAAAGCCGAGATTTGAGTATCTTGGTTTGATGTCAGCCTACAGAGGAAAGTCTGGGAGAATCTTACCTCCAATTGACCACTAAAAAACTGGACGAGGAAGTGTGGCTCAAGTGGTAGAGCACTAGCCTTGAGCAAAATAGCTAAGAGACAGTACCCAGGCCCTAAGTTCAAGTCCCAGCACTGGCATAAAACAACAACAACAAAAATGTATCTAACCCTAGTCACCTGACCCTTTGGAGGTAGTTTTCAGTTTCTCTGGTTACAGCACAAGGGAGGAGCCAGAGAGTTCCGTGAGCTGTGAGGTGAGCAGTCTGCGGGCTCAGGAACACGAGGCTGGCACAGTGCTCCTGTGGCACTTGTTACTTCCTTTCCCGCTGACCAATAGCCCTGGCACAGCTCTGTCCTGTGCTCAGGATCATCCTGGGCCTGTCGTTTGTGCCAGGATCAGCTTAAGTGTGGGCTCACCCCAAAAGCTTAGAGCTTGCAGGTATCTGGCCACTGTGCAGCCTCTGTCGAGGTACATAGAGAGGGTGTCTCTAGTGCAGGTATTCAGTGCCTGCTGGGTGAAGGAGCCCCTGGCCTCCCAGAGAAGCAGGGAAGAGCTCTCCTAGAAGCTTTCTGCTCAAAGGGAAGAGCAGGGTCACCTCCCTCTGAAATGGGTGGCCCCAAAACACCCGGCCACTGGGAGCTGGGCAGAACTGATGTGTAGCACAGCTGAACAAAGTGTTTATAAGGCTTATATATTTTATAACCTCTGTTGTACAGTTTATGGTTTACAATGGCTGCAAGGAAATTGGATCAGTTTTGTTTTACTTGCCAGATAAAACAAATGTCAAAATAGTCAATATAAAATGTATTCTAATTTGCCTGAGTTAAGTTAGCCAGTGTGCAGTGAGATCATTGAATGCATGTTAATTCTCCCAGGTGAGAAAAAAAAATCATCTGTCCCGTGCCCTCCTGTGTGTACTCCTGTGCAAGCTCCTAACTCACCAGGCTCTTGTTTGTTTGTTTTTGTTTTGCTTTTGTCTTTTATATGTGATTTTTGGTATTGTTTTCTTATTTAATCTATTTGATTTTTTTTAATGAAATGCTACTTACTTACTTGGGTAAAAGAAATAGTCGTTATTTTATTTCTCAAGGCATCTGGTTTCTCTAAATTCCCAGAAGAGGCAGACACCCCTCTGTCTGGATGTGGGCCGCCTGCCTGCAGCACCAACGCCCAGCTCTTCTGTGAGCTGTGAAGGCGTCCCTGTTAAGCTCTTGCATTCCCTCCTGTCTTCTGTCTGAGCTTCGAGCTCCAAACCTGAAGCCAAATTAGCAGCCTCTTCTTCCCTGCCTGATCCTGTGCATTTGCCCTGAGTGCTGCGTACCAGGTGTGTCTTACATCCCCTGTCTTTAGAGGGCAGGTCCAGTGTCTCCTCTCCCAGGGAGCCTTCTCTGGGCTCCTGGGCTGAGCCCTCCTCCTGGAACCCTGTGCCAGGCTCCGGGGTCCCCACTGGGAACTTTGTGGGCGGGGCCTGCTCTTCCCTCATTCTCGCCACACCCTCCGGCCCAGGCCCAGACCCAGACCCAGACTCAGTTTCACATGGGTTTCACAAGCAAGGAGGACTTCTTGCTGTCACCCTCCAGACTCCCAAGTCCCTGAGCAAATAATGGAACAATAAAGAGCAGATTCTATCTCTGGTGAACAAATCCTGTATCTGGTGAGCAGAACCTTTCTCCTTTTTCTTTTGTAAATGTATACTTTTTACATAGGTGGCATCATTGCCTGTAAGAGCAAGTGTGTGATTTGCTGTGTTTTCTCATGGAGAATTAAACTGCAGGCATTCAGAACACTTTTCAAGTGTGGTCTTTGTGTGGACACGGGATGAAGTTGCTATCACCAAGGCTACCAGCAGAGTGGTGATGCAGCGCCCTCTACTGACCAACCAGGAGGTGGCAGGCACCGGGTCAGGAGCCGTCTGGCAGGTCTTTGACAGATCTTGGTTCTAGAAAGGAGAGGGGAAGAAGGAATTGGTAGCATGCATGCTGCCTTCATTAAGCCTGGAATTTGTCTTGAAACACACTAAAAACATGTGTGATCTGCCTGTTTTTATCTTTATTCAGATTTCAGACTTGCCGGCTATCTCCCCTAACTTCGTAGCAGACAAAAGGGTATTCAGTGGACTTTTTCCCAGGTGACAGTGCTGCCTTTGCTTTCTAGAGGCCTGTGTACTCCTCAAAGCTAGGGGCTTACTGCCTGGCCTTACCACTAGGGCAGAAAATACTTTCAGTGAGGCCAGAAATGGACTCCTTCTTTCCTGCCTGCAGGTGTTGAGGCACGGTGACACCCTTGGCTATGTCCTTGAACTCAGGTCAAAGGCTGGGCAAGATGCCTCAGCAGAGCCCCTCTTCCTCACACATCTGTCTTGAGTTTCTAGGTGAAGAAGGACCAGTCCAGGACCTAGAGCCTCTGCCTTCCTTCTGGGCAGTGAGCATCCATATTACTAGCTTCATGCACACAGGCCAGCAGGGAGGAGCTGGCCTTGTGCTATCTCCTCCACTCTCCCAACCCTCTTCTGGGCTGGTGAGCACGGTGCATCCTCACTGATGGAGGGGGTTCCTTGGGCCTCTGCAGGGGTACCCAGAAAGGAAAAGGCTTCTTGACTTCAGTCTGGGCAGCCCCCACCCCACTCACACACAGGGTCTCACAGTTGGTTCTGCCAGGATGGGCGAGGGGCAGTTGCTGCCAGGACAAAGATTTGGGGAAGCTCCAGGAGACTGGGGCCCGCAGCTGGTAGAGCCCCTGCAAATGGATACATGAATGAGAGGAGGCCAAGGCAGGCTGCTGCTTGCCTACCCCCCCCACCTCCCCCACTTCCCCCACCCCCGCTTGCTGAGCAGTAGAATCAGCAGCTTGATAAAGACATCAGAGGCATGCTTATCAAACTTGAAGATGACACGGAGTCATTAGGGAGCGCTGATGTGCTGAATGACAGAATCGATACTCCACATCTCCTCTGGTGCACCCTGCGGGAACCAGAGACGGAAGTCCCGAGACTCCAATAGTCCACAGCACAGGTGACAAGTCCGGGAGATCCAGCCTGGTGGAGGGCAGGCGTGCGTGTGTGCGTGCGTGTGTGCGTGCGTGTGTGTGTGTGTGTGTGTGTGTGTGTGTGTGTGTGTGTGTGTGTAGTGACAGGCCAGTCTGGAGCTTGGGTTGTGTGAAATACAGCCTGCACTGCACATCCAGGAACATGGCCCTGTCACACTCCCCGCTGTCAGGTGTGGAAGGGTCATGCCCACGGCCACACAGTGTCCCATAGAAGTTCCCTGACTTCAGAGCTCACTCTTGACCTGAGTGCAGGCAGGCAGTTCATGTCTGATGTTTACGTTTCCCCCCAGTTGTTTAAGGAGAAAGCATGTGCATTTCAGCTGGGGGAGGTTAGGAGAGGCTGCAAGCCAGATCAGGCACACTGAGATTACAAGGAGGTAGACTTGGGCTCCATGTTTTACTACCCCACCCCCCAAAAAAATCAGATGAACTTCACAGAGTTTTCTTAGGTAGCTCTTTGGCACTGACTGAGCAAGTTCTCAGTCGCAAATTCTGCTGTGGTTTGGGTATGAAGTGGCTCCCCCAAAAGGCTCATGTATTGAAGGTTTGGTCCCCAGTGCACTGTTCAGAGGATTGGGGCTGGGCTGGTTGCCTCAAGAGAGCTCTGACTAATCAAGGGATTGATCCATTGATGGATTCATGACTGGATGGCCTATTGGGAGGTGATGGAAACAAAGATGGGGTCTGGTTAGGTTTCTTGGAGAGTAACCCCATCCCCTCCATCTCTTCCTGTTTCCTGGCCATCATGAGGTGAGTGGCTTGTTCTGCCGCCTGCCTCCTACCTGATGTTCTGTCACAATTTACACACACACACACACACACACACACACACACACACAGAA